AAGTTTAAATATTAATTTTATGTTTCTCAATCTTTTAAAAATTATTCTAACATGAGCAGCAACAGAGCCATACTGCAGCAAAGCTTAACTATATAGTTTTGCAAGTTTTGTCACTGCAATGCCTATTTAATACTCAGAGAGTTTATGGCCATTTGTACCTATTCTTCCCTAACAGTTGGAATTTCATTCTCTATTAGTATGTCAAATATTGAAGGCTGCCTTGATAATGCTTCAAAAATGATGAATGCCCATTTCTGTTTCATGGTCAAGACACCACTCTATCTGCAAAAATCCCAGTATTTTTGATAGGTGCATAAAACGTTTCAGTATAGGTCAACACCATTCGATATATGTATATTCCCTAAATATAATGATGGTGGATTTACTGTATTTTTAAAGAGGGCTATTAATAAGTAACATTTTACATGGAATAAAACAGAAATGATTGCGACAAAACTTATTAAGGCTTACAAAGTGCCTACCATGTTACTTTGAAAAACTTAAGACTCAAAAAAATTACATGATAAACACTGACTTCCACAATATGACAAATTTTAAATAAATTCCACTTACGAAGGTCAGCCACAAGCAGGCTTTGTTTGCACAGAAACATGTTCTTAGGTGGCCACCAAATGCTTTGAGATATATCATGTTACGAAAAGCTCTCATCTCCTAATGGGTAACTTTAAACTCTTCATTAACACCTTTTTAAAACACATAACTCCAAATAAATTATCATTATCTTCTCATATGGACTTGAGCATTTTACAAAACTTTGCATATTACAATTGTGTTGCAAATGTATAGTAAAACTCATGCCTACTTTTAAGATTATCTATGGTCTTTCTATCGAGTTTATTGGTACATTTTAGGTATACAGTACAGTTATATTCATCATTGGGATCTTGTACCTTTACATAACAGTTCTTGGTTTTCATTTTTCCCCCTTACCCTGCCCTCCCTTCACTCCCTCTTCCCTTCCCTATTTACAAATACTTTATTTCCATTTTTTCATGGTTTTTTTCTTTTCCCTTATTTCCCTTCCCCTACCCTTCCCACTTCCCCTAGAACTTTAGTCCTTTTCTTCCTCTTTCACATTGTCAATTATACCATTAGGATCTTATGTACAATTACAGTTTTTCATACCAGAGAAACTATTTGGTATTTACACACGTATGACTTAAGAGTATATCCTCAATATGCATCCATTTTCCTATGAATGACTCTAATTTCTCATTCTTTATGACTTAGTACTCCCTTTTATAGAAAAACCACATCTTATTTATCCAGTCTCCAACTGATGGGTAAATGGGCTGTTTCCATGTTTTAGCTATTACAAACTGTCCTGCTATAAACAGAAGTGTGCATATATCACTGTGATATGATTCTTTTCTTTTGGAAAGATACCCAGCAGAGGGATAGCTGGGTCAAATGGAACCTCTAATCCTAGTTCTGTGAGCTATCTCCATATTGATGTCCCTAGTGGTTGCACCAGTCTGCACTCCCACCAACAATGGAGAAGGGTTCCTTTCTCCCACAGCCCTGCCAACATTTGTTATTGGTTGACTTCTTGATAGCAGCCATTCTTTGTGGGGTGAGGTGGAATCTCAGTGTTGTTTTCATCTGCATCTCTCGAATGGCCAGTGATGTGGAACATTTTTTCATCTATTTACTTGATGCTTTTACTTCTTTGTCTGAGAAATGTCTGTTCATTTTAGATGATCTGCATCTCGAATGGCCAGTGATGTGGAACATTTTTTCATCTATTTACTTGATGCTTTTACTTCTTTGTCTGAGAAATGTCTGTTCATTTTAGATGTCCATTTTTGAATAAGACCTTTATTATTTGGGGGATAATTGTTTTTTAACTTCTATATTCCTGGTCTTAAGCTATCCCTCTTGACAACCTGGTTTAAATATTCCTCTACAGTTCACCAAATTCTCAAATGACAAGTCCTAGTACAATTCTTGCACTATATTTGTGCTCATATTTATATCACCAAGGAATATGGATAATTAAATGTTGGCTACTTCATTAGTGAATGAATTCGGTTATTCCCAATTGGAAAACTGTGGGAAACTGTTGAATCAATAAAAGACTAATTGATAAAAGCATTGTGACAAGACACCATGGTGCAATTACTTTGGAACTAACGTATATTCCATTCCCTTTCTGGAGATCTGATTTTTGGGTTGGTTTTCACGGTGCTGGAGATGAACCCAAGTCCTCCGGCATGTCAAGAAAACAGTGTTACTAAGCTTTAGCCACTTTCCTTTTGGGATATTTATGATGGATCTTAGGGAAACTAAAGCGTCTGAGAGGTTTTGGAAGTAGAAAAACTCATTACAATTTTTATATTCAATGTTTTCCAAATTTACCTAACTATGGTGATGGGCACTGTCATCTTCATACACTGAATATATGAGGAATAGTCATTAAAAGCCAAGTCTCTCCAGGTTAAATGCTATCATCTTACTTTCTACAAAAGTTTATTGCTTATTTTGTTTCAAAGACATTATATTTGGTTTTCTAACACTAGAACTTATTTCAAAATGTTTTATTTATAATTGCTTTATTTTGCAATTTTCCAATATTAAATTAAATGGACATATATGAATGGTATAATGTATAACTTGATATATATCAATTTATTTGATAAAATAGATATGAAACCACACATATTGACCTACCTCATCTTTACCTGACACTGAAAAAGTAAAAAAATTCAAATGCTCTTTATAATGTTCTATGTAATATTTTAACTTATAAAAGTAGTATGCATTTTAAATTATTGATATTTAAGGTCAACTTTTATACCATCTGGTTGTCCATTACAAAAGGAAGGCATGCATACTATAGAGTACCAGCCACATAATAGGATTTTACCCAAAGTGTTTCCTTTATTTATAAGAAAGCTATTCTGCATTGGGTTCAATCCTCAGCACCCCACTAAAGCAAATAAACAAATAAAGGAAAACTTCTAACTTCATTACATGTAATTTTAAAAAACAAGTTATGAACAGCAAGAATACTAAGATGTATTTCCTTTTGAAGGTTAGTATGTTGTTTTAACGATGATGAAATTATGTCTAAAAGGTGAAAAACTATAATAGTACACAGGATCCTAATGAGAATTAATAATGTGAAATAGGAAGTAAAGGGATAAAGGTGTAAGGAAAGTGGGAAGGGTGGGGGAAAGGTAATAAGGGAGAGGAAAAAAATATGAGAAACTGAAAAAATGGAAATAAAGTGTTTGTAAATGGGGAGGGGAGGAGGGGATGAAGGGAGGGCAGGGACAAGGGGAAAAATGAGAATCAAGACCTATTATGTAAAGGTACAGAATCCCAATGATGAATGTAATTGTATTGTATACCTAGATTGTACCAATAACCTCAATAAAAAGAAAAAAAATAAAAACCAGAGTAACTCAAATGTAAAAAAAAAGAAAAAAAAAGTGAAGTACACACCTGAGATGCTGACAAAACTCTAACCAGATTAGTAACACTGTTATAATCCACGATTTTAGAAAGATATTATGTCCTAACTTTTAAAACAGTCTGCTTTCCAGCCAGCTAAGAGAGGAACTAAACCAATTCTGTTTTCTTGATCTGACCCTAACAGCAAGTAGCACTATCCCCATAAAGATACTGTTATCCCAGTATCAGCAAAAATTACTGTGAAAATATATCACCGAGGAAGCTTAACTGGGTGCCAATCTCTTGTTACTAAATTCTGTGTATTTAAGTATTTTGAAACAGAAATAAGCATTTGATGACATATTATAAATTTCTATGTTAAACATTTTTATTACAGTAACATATCTGAGTGGCTCAAATAGCAGCACCATACAGACATCACATGCTAGAGCATGACAATGCAATGCTAACTGCACACCGAGTTGACATTTCAAGCATATTCTCTGTAACAACATTTGTATTCAGATACAGGTAGTAAAGCACATGAGGATAATTTGAGTCACGATTCATGTTAGCAAATGTTTTGCTTTCAAACTAATCCTCAAACCCAGAATCATTTGCAAAGCCATTAATATTCATATGTTGTAGCAGATACAGTAGTTATTGTTTGAATTGAACAGCTCAGGACAAAGAATTGCTAGCGTTTGAAAGAGAAATATCAGCAACACCTGATTACTTTCCTAACATAAGCCTTCTTACTAAACTAGGAATGTATTGGTCTATTGAGTGATGTCTTTACCAATATATTTCAAGTGAGCAGGTGGGGTCGGGATAAAAGGAAAGCTTTATGAAGCTCTTCTTAGATAATATAGCCCATTAATACAGAATGTAACCTGAGTGATAATCTTTTAACACTTACTTATGATAGACAAAAACCTATCAAATCCACCAAAAATGGCAGCAACCTCACAGTATGCATTCTGTTTTAGTATATCAACTTTTGGGCTGCAAGACTATTATTTATGGCAACATATCTTTCTTCATTGGGATCCAATTGGTGATATTTGAGACATAGACACTTCAACCTAGTTCCCAAGAATTTCAGCAGATAAACTGAACTTGATCCAATAACATTTTATCTAAGTTTTATTGTTGCCGAAGCAAAAAGAAAAATAATGTTTAAAAGGCATGATTTCTCTTCTTTTGATTTTGTCCATGCAAAGTCCAAGGAAAATTAGAGGAGAGGAAAAAGAAGCAGTGTAAGGAATAAACTTTTCATTATGTATATATTTATGAATTTTAAATTTATTTATGTTTACACCAGTCAGAGCATTTAAATAAGAACTTAGATTTAGATAATATTGCCCTGAAAACTTAAATTTCTCCATTTTAAGAGAAAAGCAAATATTCAAAAATTATCAGGCCACAGGAACACAAAAATTGTATAGTTATACTTTTTATTGTTTAAGTCTTATAACCAAGAAAACTCAGACTCAAACTGTAAGTTAGGATTACAAAACATAATAGGAAATTATTTTCTTTCACTCTTGAGGTATTTCCTCTTTTAAAAGAATATACATTTAAGAATGAACCAGTGCTTTATAGAAAATTAAATAATGAAGTTTATGTTAGTATAAATTTTTTGGTACTTTGACAAGGCTATTATATAAATTTAGACTTATGAGAGTTTTTACACGACATGACTTTGCTATCTTAAAGAAGGAAGCATTTGGATTTATATTAAACCATCTGAAAATTCAAGTCAGATAACAAAATTCCATACTCAACTACTTACCTACTCAAAAAGACATATGAAATCCTTTCTTGATGTTTAGAAGTTGCTATTATCTAATTCTGCATACATATCAGTTGAAAACAGAGAGTTTTCTTTATTGGGTTTGGTTCGGTTTTAATTTTAGGGAGGAGAAACTAGTGGAAACTTTTTGCATATTTAAGCCTAATTGAGACACATGATATAAAATCTGTATGATCTTTGCATGTTAGGGTTAATAAGATATTCAACTATGTACTAGACAAGTTTCCTCATGCCATCTCCACATTTGATCTTGTTATGATTTTATTCAAGGTAAGTAAGATGCTAGTGAAATAAAATTTGTTCCTAGTAAAACTAATCAGTATGTAAATCACAACAGTACCTTCAACTAATTACATAAAGTAATAGTTAACTAATATACAAGTCTGGATTATTTAAGGTGAAAACTAATTTGTAACCTCAGACTTTATTTGTGGGCAATAATTTAAAATAAAAAGGTTACTTCATCCCAATCTTAATTTTAGAAAGCATTTGCTCTTAAGATTTACCAAATGAGAGAGATATGCTTTCCTATAACAGAACAAAAATGTATTTCGATTTTAAGTAAACCAAATTCTCTTCTGAAAACCTCTGAAGAAATTAAGTAGCTTCAGTTTTTCAGATATGTAAAGCTGTTTCTCTCTTATAAGACAAAAAGAGGGCGAGAAAGACCTGTATTCTCACTTATGCTGACAGGTTTTAATCCTACGAAAAAATTTGTAATCAAAACTAAGAACTATTTTATGCCTCCAAAACACTTCTGGCCTCTTCAGACCTCCTTGGTCCATTATGATGTCTCTCTTCTTAGCTGCTCACTTTGGAGGTGCACTGCAGCAGCCACAGTCCACAGCACACCAGGTAGTATACGTGAGTAATGAGCACACGGCTTCTATTCATAACTTCCTCATACCAAGCTTGATCAGTATAAATAGGCAAATGTGGTGATAAAGTTCTAGTGCTTAAAATAAGGCCAGACTTAAGGAGCTGGAGAAATAAAACTTGTTCATTAAACAGCTCAGTAGCTTTGTTCATTTAAATTTATTCTTAGCTTTTAATGTATGCACACATGCACATGTGCACACATGCCTTTGCTTCTGGAGGGCGGCTTCCTCCCAATGTTGGATCTTCTCAGCTATTTTAAATAAAATTTCATTCTTGTACAATTAAAGGCAGAAATTCTAATGCATACACTGTAGAATCATTTGGACTGAAGCTAAAGTAAGTACATGGCCAACAAACTGGGTTTATACAATTTAACGGTCATTTCAAGTTGTGTCTCCTTTATGGCCAAATCATGATTTTAAAAAACGAATGACTAAAATTACTCCACAAATGACTTATTGTTGATCATTCTTATATATTAACATCATAATATCCCGATTTTTGCATTATTTAGTCTAAGAAATCTGCAACATCTTTAAAAATTTATGGAGTTACACGCACTACATTAATTTCCTCCAATCCTGATATCCTTATCCTTCTTCCACAGAGACAAGCACATATTTTTTTGAAATGCACTAGCAAGAAAAGGTCCACTGAATGTGGATGTTAGGTAGTCATAAAGAATCAAGTAACCATCAATAATTTAGAAAAAATCCAATTACCTTGGACTAATACTCTCTCAGAAAATGGCTTTAAAATAAAAATATATGTAACTTCCAACCTTGGGATGCCTGCTCTCCAACCTGTGAATTAAAGCAGACCAATTTGTCTGCCTCAGTTCTCCTACTTTGGGCTATATCTTGATTTACTGGAAATAGCTTTTAGGATACCGCAAGGAGTGAAAACATTCACAAATTTTACAAATAATTGTTATCTATGAGAAAAACCATTTGAGAAAGAAATTTAAATACATTTCTGAAAGGTAAATATTGCTCTTTCTAGGGAGCTCAACCAAAACTGTTTATATTTTTATGAAAAACTGAAAGCTCACTCATTGATTTAAAAAAATACTATAAGAAAAGGAAGTAAACTGCTATGAAACTTATTCATGGTAACATTGGACAAAATGATACTGTACACTGATTTAAAAACAAAAAACCTTCAAGGGTAACTCAATGGCTAGTAGCATGTGTCATTTGAATTTTCTGTTCACAATCATGTAGCTTATTTTTTGTAGTGCAATGAGAAACAAATGTAAATTGGCCTCGACATTGTGAGACTTCGAAAGTATAACACATTACCTGTAACACCAAAGTGAGTTTGAAGTGTCAACTCTTCTGCCAAAGAACTATATTTAACCATCAGCTCAGCCCATCAAAGATATTTTCCAAAAAATAAGAAGCATGAGACAAAAGCCATATAGAAGTATTCTGTCCGTACTTTTTCTATTCCTTTATGTGACTCCTTATGAAAAGTAAAAATAAAAGTGAATTTACATTTTATTTTTAACCAATTAGATTGTCTTCCACTTTAGATCATAACATGACAATGCCACATCCTTACTTAAAATGCATATTTTCACATGGAGGAATTAAAATGTTGGAGAATCGGGCTGCAATTTTTTTTTAGTTCTGTACAGTGTGCCACAGTAATGATAAACCCGTTTTGTATTTAATCCTATCATCAAGGAACACCAGGCATTTAAATCTTTGTATTTTATTCTAAATGGCCAATGTGAGTGAGAGAAGTAATATAGTATTATACTATTAATGCATTAAGTCAAAATCTGTGTTGTCTAAAAAATAATATAACACTGTAATGGGATCTTCAATATCAATTCTCTTTTATATATTCTGCAGCAAAAATAACATTTCTAGCAGGAAGGAGTCAATTATAAACCTAGCAAACTCTAGACATTCACATAGTTGTGTAAACAATTTAACATAGTTTATTACATTTTCAGAAAGGCTAACTCTTATATTCAGTTTTCTGCTAATTCATATATTATAATAAATATATATGTTATTTGAGTGAATGTGTGTATGTATTTTCACACATATACATGTCATATATACATAAAACAGCACTTAACGGTCACTTTCTTTGCAGTGTCAAGTTGAGGAAATAAATTAATTACTATTATGCTTAACCTATGGCAATCTTCCCTTCAGTTTCACAAATGGCCATATCGGGATGTAAACAAAACATTGGATCGAGTCATTCCAGATGAACTGTATTTCATGTTGTAGGCTGGGGTTCTCATGAAGAATTGGGTGCTTCCTGGTGGTAAATACCTAAAAATAATGATTAAAAATTAGATTATTACAAGCAATCTGGCATTAATACCATTCACTGAAGTTATATGATTAGTAACTGACACATCCTACATAAAAACATGTTACTATAACAATGATACAATTCATATAAAAAGATGTCTTCCCAAGATGTTGAAATCACAGAATCTCACTTGAATCTGAATACAGATACGACATATGATATTAGTATCCCAAATTCACCATCCCTCCTTATAAGTAATGTGTGAAGCCAGTCAAATATTTAAAACACAGTAATGAGCCACATTAACAATAATTTATGTTTCAAGACTACTGTAGGTATTGATTATAATTTAACGATAATAACATATTATGAATATAGGCAGTCTAAAAGAAAAAGTTAAAAATTAACATTCATAATTACAGAATTTTTATATTCTCAGGCCATATAGTGCTTCTGGGTATAGGTTACATAGACCCTTTGCAGCCAAATGTATTTCAGAATCTGTGACTTTCCTAGATTTTAGAAAGGTAGTGTAAAACTAATAGGTCCATCAGGGCTTTATACATCCTGTACATGAACCATTAATATTTACACAGTAAAATGCATGAGTATTCACAATAAAGCATATAGATAAAAGATCTGACACAACGCCTGACACAACTTAAAAGGAAGTTAGGTTTGATTTGGCTCACAATTTCACACTCAGGCCACAGATAGCTGGCTCCAGGGCAGAAACATCATGACAGAAGGGTATTGCACAGGAAAGACACTTAGTTAACGATGCCTGGGAAGCAGGGGTCAGGAACAGTGCCAAAAAGAGGCCAGGGACCATATTTAATACCCATGGTCACACACCTGCATTACCCAATGAGACACACTCAGAAGTGTGCTCTACTAATCCCATAAGTCAGTAGTCTCCAACATTTCTGGCACCAAGGAATGGTTTAATAGAAAACAATTTTTCCACCAGAAAGGACACTGGGGAGGGGGAATGGTTTCGGGATGATTCCAAAGAGCATGCACCTAGATCCCTCATACGCACAGTTCATGTTAAGCTTTGTGCTCCTATGGGAATCTGATGCCACAGTTGATCTGACAGGAGGTAAAGCTCAGGCAGTAATGCACTATGCAAGCAAGAGCAGCAGGTGAAAATAGAGATTAAAGCTTCACTCAACTGCAGCTCACCTCCTACTGTGTGATCTAGTTCCTAAAAGACAATGGCCATGAAGTTGGTGACCTCTGCCCTAGGTGGCTCTCAAGCCAATTAAGCTGACAAGTAAGCTTAACCACCACACTCCACCACTTATCAAGCTGATGTCCAAACACATCTGCTTGAATCTTATTTCATCCCCAAATAAACACAAGGTCACAATTCTGCCTAAGAAGATACAATATCCTACATACAATTGAAACATAATTATCCCTTCCCTAACATCCCAACAGTTCCAGCATTGCTAAAAAGTCCAATTCAAAGTTTCCTTTGAGATTGAAAGCAAACTCTTAACTGTGAATTCTTGTAAAAATCAAAATCAACTTAAATTATCCCAGTACACAATGGTACAGGGTAAACATCCCCATTCCAAAAGGGAGGAGTAGGAGAATGGAAAAGAAAAGAACCAAAGCCTAGCAGGGCAAACATTAATTCCTGTAGCTTCATGTTTGGCTTCTGGAGTACCCAGTGGTACAATGTAAGTTCTAAAGTGTGTGGGCAGCCCTTATAGCCTTGCTAGTTGCATACCACATGGCCTTTCTGTTAGGCTGGTTCCACTCCATCTGTGGCTTTCCCTAGCAGACACTACACATATCCTGCTTTTCCATATTCATAGGGTCCGCAAGCATTTTTAGCTTCATTTCCATAAATCAATTCACGCACTGCCCTCTCAAGGGCTCCTTGCCTGGCTTCGCAGGCCTTTCTTTGAAACTGTAGTGGAAGTCTCTGCAACTGTTTTACTCTGCATGTCTACAAAACTAGCATCACATGCATGATGCCAGTCTTCTACCAGCTGAAGCTTCAACTATGGCTGAAACTGAAGCTTCTGGGCCCCCTTCAACCATGGCTACAGTGGCCTCTCAATGTGTAGATGGCCAAACAGCGAAATAAAGGAAACCAATTCTCTAGGTGACACTTTTTAAACAGATGTCCCAGGAAGATTCTTAAATGAAAGGTTTACGTTTTTGCACCCTTGAGCTCAATGGACAGGATCATGATGAATTTTGAGATACTATCAAGGTGTCTTTCTTCTTGTCCTTCTACAAAGTACTGGGTTTCTTTTAAATGCTGTTAATCTCTTCTACAAACACACCTTCTGTGGCTCCACTTTACATGTGGGTTTTGGGAGGGTCAACATTTAAGGTTTTCAAATTTTTCTCCTTTCTTTTTTGCCCCTGGTTCTCACTGTAAATTTGGCTGAAAGCATCCAGTATTACCCTTGTCATGGTATGAATGCTGGATTACCTTGAAATTTTCTCCACGAGATCAATTAGTCTATCACCCTTAAATTCAACCTCCTACAGTCTCAGGACATGGGATAAATAAACACAACGTAGCATGCATGGCCTGTAGTTTAATTCCAAAAAGAATCCTCATTCCTCACTAAAACCTCATGAGTCTGTCCATATTCCTAGTACCTTTCTGATCTCTGACAAGAACCAACCATCAAACTCTGCTTGCAACATCCTAAGGCTTCTCTATTTCTCATTGCAAAATCTTACACAATTCTCCTGTAAATCAATTCCAAAGGCTTCTTAACCACATGGTCAAATACAGTCAACAACCCCAATTCTCCACTATCAACTTTTTGCATTAGTAAGTTTTCCCATAACTGAGACACAGTATCTGATAAGATATTACAGGAGGACAGGTTTTTTTATGGTTTTGTTTTGTGCCATTCAGGATTGAACTCAGTACCTTTGCCCTTAACTACATCTCAATCTTTTTAAAATTTTGAGACAAGGTCTCACTGAGTGGAATTTTTACTTGTAATCCTCCAACCTCAGCCTCCTAGAGTGCTGCAATCACAGGACATAGTTTAATTTGGCTCAGGATTTGGGGGGATTAAGTCCATGGTTGACTGCCTCCTCCAAGGCAAAAGCGAATAACAGAGCAAAGATGCTTAGATCACAGCAGCCAGGAGAACTGTTCCAGAGAGGATGAGGCAAGGTACCATATAAAGCAACCAAAGTCATGCCTCCATGATCTACCCAAATGCACACAAAAGCGTGCTTTACTCATCCCTTAAGCATCTCCCAAGCCATTCAATTTAGCAATTAAGTTTAATCACGACACACTTTATGTCAATTCAGGACAGATTTGTCAACAAATGTGTCTTTTTTTTTTCAAACTTTGGAAATTATAACAGCAAATCAGAAACTGTACCAGATTTATTTATTTTCCTATGAAAGCCCGTGGCTGGCGTTTTGTCAGTCTAATCTACATGTCTGGGGAGAAATGGTTGGCAAAAACCACATAAACAAGTGCAAATAAATAACACTATTAAACTGTAATTCCAAAGAATAACAGGAGACATGTTATAAAGTCAGGATCAAAATATCCATGAAGTTTCCAACAGCAGAAGTATCAACAGAATGAGACTGGTAATTCACAGAGGTCTTGGAAAAATAAACAATGGTACGAGTATCAAAGGATTTATTTAATTTTCTTCAGTTCATTAGAATCCTTGAGTATCATAAATTCATAAATATGTGAAAAAAAGTGAAGGCCAGGAACCCATTAGCCACTATTCTATGTGAAATGGTACCAATAACCATGATACCACTGTCAATAGAAACTTACATTCATAGTTAATATGAATTCTGAAGAAAATGAATGCATTATAATAAAATTGCATACAACATTCAGATTAAAATAGCAGAATTTTCCACAATACCCATTAATATTATTTCATGAATTATCTAATAATATACACTAAACCTATTACCTAATATCACAAACTATAAATTATTGTTCAAATCATTAAATAATGAAACAACTGATTTCTCACATCACAGATTATATAAATTATATCTTAATATCACTTGGATAATTTTTATGGATTAATTATGTCAAGAGCTGGTGGAGTCATGATGATTAATTTGATACCTTTTGCTGTGAAAAGGCTTACCTTTCTATCTATGGCAAAGGTGCAAAATAAACTAAGGTGTTTAAAAAAAAAACCACTATTCTGTATCAGTTGAGAGTTGTTCTCTGTTTGACAATGCATTCTGACACACTGGTAATTATACAGTAAATAATAACTTCTACTACCTTTCTCCCAAAGGATTTCCAAGCAATTGTCACTACCAACATTTCAATAATGTTAATATAAACTTCTGAGTTAATGATCTCCATTTAACACATGGAAAAATAAGATCACAAAATCCAGAACCACAGCTAACTTATTTTTTTAAACAAATATTTAAATAGTATTTTCTGTGGGCCCAGAACTATTCTAATTGCCTTACAAATATGAATTCATTTAGTTCTCATAGCAAATCTATACAGTAGATATTATTATTGGCTACATTTGCAGATGAATAAACTTCATGAAGCATAAAAGGGTCAAATGCCTTTCCCATGGTCACATAACTATTGAGTGAAAGAACCAGGTCTCAGAACCACAGAGCCTCGCTCCAGCATCAGTGTTCCCACTACTATCCTGTTGCCATGACAATTTCACATAATTGTTACTGTAGGCGAATCATGATTTTAAAACTAATGGGTTCAATTATTATGTATTTTTTCAGAAATATGAAGTATAAAATAACCTAGAAAATACAAAAGTATTCTATAGGCCACAAACCTAAACTTTTTAGGGGAAGCAGAAATGAAGTTAAAATGAAGCTTTTTTAAGACCTAAAAGAAAAAAGTACAGTATGAACTTAAAAAGCATATGAAATTACACTGAAGAACTTTGCTCACCTGAAGGGAGTGCTGTGGGATATTTTAAAGCATTACAGAGAAACACAATGCATTATTTGCCTTAATATTTCCATTAATATCTCTTGGGAGATCTCACAC